CTTGTAAGTGAAGAAACTGATTTTAAGCCAGGCAGGCTGGTTCCAGAGGTTAAGCTTTTAACTACAAATGAAAAATTTAGATGAAATGAATAAATGGCTAGTAAAATATAACTTCCCAAAATGGAATTTAAAAAAATAATCAAAAGCCTGAAAAGTTCTATAACCATTAAATGGAATCCCAGATTAACTTCGGGTGATTTTATTTGTAGAGTGTATTAGAAAAATATATTAGAGCACTGGGTTGTGGCTCAGTGGTGGAGAGCTTGCCTTGCATGCGTGAAGAACTGGGTTCAATCTTTAGCACCACATAAAAATACATGAATTAAATACAGGTATTGTGTCCATCTACAACTAAAAAAAATATTTTTTAAAAAGAAAAATATATTAGAATTTTGTTCAAACTTTATACAGACTCTTCCAGAAAATGCAAACCAAAAGAAAGGAAAATGGAGGAAAGTTACTCCTTTTTAGTAGTTTAAGTGTGGTAGAAATTTCTCTCTGTGTTAAAACAATCCAGAAGTAGAGGGTCCAGAGCTGGTACAGCTAGTGCAGGAAGCTTTCAAGGACTTGGGCTTCTTCTAGCTCACCTCTTGCCTTGCCCCTGAGTGGACCATGTCATCACGGTCCAACATAGCTGCTAGAGCTGCAGTCAGTACAGCTGAGAGTAGAGAAAAGGATTTTTAAAGAGTGCATCAAGGTAGAGCATTTGCCTGTCATGCACGAGGCGTGGGTTCCCTCCCCAACACTGGACATAAATAAAATTAAAAAGAGGGACTGGGGTTGTAGCTCAGCGGTAGAGCACTCGTCTAGCACGTGCGAGGCCCTGGGTTCAATCCTCAGCACCACATAAAAATAAATAAATAAAATAAAGATATTGTGTCCAGTTACAACTAGAAAATAAATATTTAAAATCAAATAAAATAAAGTAAATAAAAAGAGTGTATCCTCAGAGACATGCTCTCAATCATATACCACACTTCCGCTCATCTCTCATTCTCCAAATATAGTCATATTGCAAACCCCAGCAGACACAAGGGTCTGAGAAATGTGGCTAATCATGCTGAGCTGAAACTCAGGATTCTTGTTGCTTAGAAATGAGGGAGGATGAATATTGAGAGCAGATCAAAATCTCCACTGTGTTCTTTAATTAGATTTCTGAGGCTACCAAACACTCAATGCTAAAGCCAAACAAGAATGTTACAAAAAAGAAAAATTATAGGCCAAATGAAGCTCATAAGAAAAATTGTAAAAATCCTAAAAAGAATCCAGCAGTAGGTTTATCCAGTGTAGTTTATTCCAGGAACATAACTGTGGTTCACATTTTTTAAACTTATTAATGTAATTTTTATTACTACAGTAACCAATTTCATAAGTAGCGTGCTTTATCAAGATATTGAAACATATTTTAAAGCTTATAGTAATTAAGATAGTCACAGTAACATAGTAATGAACAAAATAATCAGTGAAATAATTAGCCCAATAATGGACCCACTTAAATATGAAAACTAATTAATTATAGAGTAGGCATTGCAAATCACTGGGAAAGAACAAACTGTTAAATGAATGGGAAAATGGGTTATCATCTAGTTGGAAAAAAATAATAAATTGGAGCCTGACCTCATGCCACATATAAAAATTTAATTCCAGATGGAAAAAGGACATTAATATAAAAGGTGAAAGTTTAATACTTTTAAGATAGCATGTTGACCCAGTTAATAAAGGGGCAAATGAACTAGACAGACACTTCTCAAAAGAATACAGATGGCCAACAAATACACGAAAAAAATTGTTGAACACTGTTAGCAACTAGAGAGATACAAATCGAAACAATACTGAGAGTTTACCTCGCTCCAATGAGAACGGCAGCCATCAAGAATCTGCTGCTCCCCTCCCCTGACTCAGGCAATGGCAAGGCCCTACTGAGGTGGATGGCGCAAGGCGTCCATCCTCTGGAGGAGCGCAGTATGTTTCTGGGAATGGGCTGATTTGTTTTTGTATTCCTTTAATAAGTATAGTTGCGATTTCTCATATGACCATTAAGTATGAAGGAAAAAACATGACTTTCCCAATTAATGCAACTACTTCTAAGATCTGTTTGCTCTAAATGCAATGATTCAGCTGTGGAGTGTAAATTGTTAATGTCTGATGAGAAACTCCCTGTATTCCTGTCAAGGAAGTTTTTGAGAAATTAAATTAAAATCTAGAGAAGAAGAATTAATGTTAAGAAGACAGATTAGTGCTTAGTACTGGGCAACTTGTTCTTGTTCCTGTGCACAATGGTCTGTGCTCTTACTCTTGTTTGATTAAAATTAATAACAAGTTAACCACTTGCCGTAACCATGGCACCGGTTCTAGTCAGTAAGTCAAGAAAGAATAGTCAAGGTATAGGCCAATAGTCTGGGACATTTCTAAATATTATTAGAAGTTAACTAAGCAGAAACAGCTCAAAGCAAAACACGAACTGAAAGGAAAAATGCTTGCTTATGCATAAGCCAAGATACATTCTTCTATTCTAATTGTAGCTACCTAATATTTTGTTTCTTTGAATAATGATTCCTGTTTTGTAACCACAAAGTACTGTGAGCCTGCAAAAATGAAAAGTATATATGATCAACTACACAAGTAAAGATTGGGATCAACACCTTCACTTTGGTGTCTGTGTTGTTTCTCCACCCCCCTTTCGCCGACTCCTCACCATCCGCTCGTCTCCTGAGACCCCCTGTTGGAGCTGGACTCCGACAAGAATACACATAATAAGCCAGGTTCAGTAGTTCACATCTGCAATCCCAACAACTCAGGAGGCCGAGGCAGGAGGATCACGAGTTCAAAACCAACCTCAGCAACTTAACACAGCAACTTAGTGAGATCTTGTCTCAAAATAAAATTTTAAAAAATTAAAAGGACTGGGATGTGTCTCAGTGGTTAAATACCCCTGGATTCAATCTCCAGTACCTGCCCCCCCACACACACACACACACAAAATACACACAATAATAAACGCTGGAAAGGATGCAAAGAAAAAGAACACTTTTACACTGTTAGTGAGATGGTAAATTAGTACAACCACTATAGAAATCAGTATAGCGGTTTCTCAAAAGATCAGGAGTAGAACCATCATATGACCCCAATATGCCACTCCTCAGTATTTATCCTAAAGAATAAAAGTCATAATACTATGGTGATATAAACATGTATACCCATGTTTATAGCAGCGCCATTCACAAATTCATAATAGCCAACCCATGGAACCAGCCTAGGAATCCACCAACAGATGAATGAATAAAAAAAAACTGATATTTATATCAAAGGGAAATCAATAATACAATTATAAAAATATAATATATAACAATATAATTTGGCCAATATCATTCTCCAGTAGTTCCTTCACCAGGTCCCCTTTCTCTAACTCTATGGATCTCCCTTCAATTTTCATGAAACCATTCCCTCACCTCTTTTCCTTTTTCCACTCTAGCTTTCACATAAGAGAGAAAACATTCAAATTGACTTTCTGAGTTTGGCTTGTTTAATCTCTACCCATTTTCCTGCAAATGACATGTAAATATAACTTCCCACTCTAGTATATTGATTCCTAAAAGTCAATGAACATCTCATAACAAAAGGGCAAAAGATATTTTTTTCTTTTTTAAATTTATTTTTTTACAGTAGAATGCATTTTGACATATTGTACACAAATGGAGCACAACTTCTCATTCCTCTGGTACATGGTGCAGAGTCACTCCAGTAGTGTAATCACACATATATATAGGGTAATAATGTCTGTCTCTTTCTTCTGCCCTGCCCAACCCCTCCCCTCATTCTCCTCTACACAAACCAACAGTCTTAGTGTAACTTGCCTAGAGTGGCAAAAAGCACTATTAACATTAATATTAGGATACTTTAAATTAATTTGGGCAAGTGGAACTTACCTGTAATCCCAGCAACGGGGAGGCTGAGGTAGGATGATTGGAAATTCAACGCCAGCCTCAGCAATTTAGCAAGACCCTCAGCAATTTAGTGAGATGCTCTCTCAAAATATAAAAATAAAAAGGGCTGGAGACTTAGCTCAGTGGTAAAGCACCCCTGGGTTCAATCCCTAGTACAAAAACAAAAACCAAACTTTCAAGAAATACCTGAATAGAAGCAAACCCGCTAAGCTGGTAAACTGGCATTTCTTTTTTCCTTTCTTCCCCCCCGCCCACCCCCTTACTGTCACACTAAGTTGCTGAGGCTAGCCTTGACCTTGCAGTCCTCCTGCCTCTGCCTCCAGATTGCAGAAGTGTGTCACTTTCCCCCCTAAATGGTATTTCAAAGCATTATATATAAACAGAGAGATTATCTTCCAATTTCAGATGAAATCAAGTCCGGAACCCGCAGAGCTCCCCCACAGAACCTAGGGAATGAGTTTTCGTAAACTTCAGAAGAAGCCAAACACCATAGTACGGTCTGGTAAGCTTTGTTCATCTTACTTTGCTTTCTCCCAGCTTTAATTTGGATTTGCAGCCGGGCGCAGGGGCACAGGCCTGTAATCCCAGCGGCCCAGGAGGCTGAGACAGGAGGATCGCGAGTTTAAAGCTAGCCTCAGCAATGGCGAGGCGCTAAGCAACACAGTGAGACCTAAATAAAATACATTTTGTAGGGCTGGGGATGTGGCTTAGTACTTGAGCCCCTCAGAATTCAATCCCCAGTACCTCCCCCCACCAAAAATAAATTTTTTTAAAAAAAAAATTGATTTGCCGTCACACGGCAAGGCATTTACTAGTGTCTCAAAGCATAAAAGCCAAGCGCCACCAAGACCTTTACCCTCATCTGGAGCCCTGTCTCACCTCCGCCCTTCAGTAACCTGCTACTGGACGAGAAACCACAACCCCCAAAAGGCCTTGCGGGGACTGGGGCGGAGTCTTTGCGTCGATTGGCTGTTCCGCAGCCCAAACCAAGCGATGATTGGTCATATCTGGGAATGGGGTGGAGCTAATTCAGATAGCGAGAATTGGAGCAGTGACAGAACCAGGCAGGAGATCTGGGCGTTTAGGTCCAAACTTCGGCGGCGGGCGACAGGTAGCAGAGACTCCAGAGAAGCATGGCTCGGTGTAATGTTTGCGTGGTGGCCCTGGCGGCTGTGTTGCTGCTAGTTTTTGCCATTGTCTCCAGATCCAATGGCCTGAAGGGCAGGGAGTTTCAGGGGGCGTCGCGAATACCTTCTGAGTTCAGCGAAGAGGAGCTCGTCGCTATGAAAGAGGCGCTGAAAGGTGAACCTGGGTCCCCTTCACCAACTTGAGTCCCGCGGTTCTCCGGTCAACCCGTGACTCCCGTTTCCCTCGGCAGAAGGGCCGCTGCTCAAGTCGGAGCTCCTCCCCATACCCAGCCAGATCCCAGCACACCATGCCCTGACCTGGAGTTCGCTACTCTCCCCCTTGACCTGGTTTCTGTGACTTTGGTGTTCCCTGTCTCGCCTGGAGGCTCCACCTTCGCTCCTCTTGTCATGTCCTCCTCCCACCCTACACAGTCTCCAGTGTTCCGACAGCTTTTGTTTGAACAGCACTTTCAGCCTTTGGAAAATTTCACATCTGTTAAATCCTTGTGGTGTCTTAAAATAAGACTAAATGACTCTGTATTGTCTCCAGAGAAAAGGAATTGAGGCATAGATCAAGTGACCTTCTCCATGGTCCCACAACAAGGAATGGTCACTGGGTGTCAACATCTAATATCCAGGAGTATTCACTGGGTTCCAGATTGCTCTCGGGGTTATAGAATGTTCCTGAGGTGTGGGATGTTCCCAATTCCCTTTTCTAATAGAAGAACCTAACAATGCTGACAACTCATTCATTTAAATCTCTGTTTTCCAGGTGAAAAGAGGAAACTTTCTGTTGAGTGCTAGATCCTGTGGGATAATGAGATCCTTCCTCCCAGGGGGCTTCACTCTAGTCTTTTCCCTTTCATTAAGTAGTGGATTAAAAGAAACTGCCTACATAAACATGTGCAGGCAGATCCAGGGAACAAATGCTAACCCCTATGTTTGGAGATGGATTGTGCACATGCTGGAGTGATAGGCCTGGGAGGTAGAGAGGGCTTTCCCTAAGCAGAGTATAAATAGTCCTTTGAAAGTCAGCAGGCAGTTGCTCAGAGTCTCTTTGCACTGGAGAAAGCAAATGTTTACATAAGAACCTAAGGTAGGACCTGACGGGTAGTACACACCTGTAATCCAGCTACTCAGGAGACTGGAGCAGGAAAATCACAAGTTCCAGGCCTGCCTGAGCAATTTAGTGAGAACCTGTCTCAAAATAAAAGTTTAAAAAATGTCTGAGAATGTGGCTCAGAGGCTGAGCACTACTGGGTTCAATCCCCAGTAGCACACACCCAGAAGAAAATAAATAGATAGATAGATAGATAAACCTAGAGAAGTGACCTCATAGCAATGTGTCTTAGAACTCTCAGCAGGGTGCAAAACACCTGAGTTCTGAGCTTCCGTCTGCTCTTGGGTAGACAGTTTTAATGTTTTTGAACGTTGAATTTCCCATCTATGTGGCAGGCTATAATGTTATAGGGATGATCCTTAGCAAAATTGAACATAGAAGTCCATTTGTCGCTCAGAGGCATCCCCAAGTGAATGTGTCTGAACAGTGTTCTCAGGTGCCTTTCTAATCAAATGTCATCATGACTCATTGTGTTCACCCCCCCCCAGTGGTGTTTACATTTGACAATAGAATCCTTTCAGTCTTTAAAGACTTTAAGATTTAAAGGGATGAGCTTCATGACAAGTCAGGAACTGAAACCTGCATAGGGAGGATGAAACTAAGGACTGATGAACCTGTTTAGGAGCATCTTAATCCTTATTTCCCCAGGCATCTTGTGCCCCAATGTTGGCTTGGTTGAAAGGTCAGTGAAACTCTGGATGAGCCAGTCCATGAGGAACAATCTGCCCTCTACGCAGACGAGCATACAAGCCTCATTGATTTAGGGTCCCAGGACAGTGAGCAAAGACTTGAGACTGATAAAACCTAGATTTATCAGAGGGAGTGATGATTTAATAGGCAGAGTGAGGCCTTAGGAAGCAATATGTAGTCACTTTCTACTCAGGATCAGAGTTCAAAATCTACTGCCTTTATTTTCCTTAAAGAATTAGTTTAAAAAAACTCATAAGGACTTCTTTTAAATTCTGGTTCTGCTCTTTGTTCCTGGGCAATCTCTGGCAGCTCACTTAACCTTGCTAAACTTGTTTCCTCATCTTCTAATTAGGGAAAATAATGATGGCCCCCAAAATTGTTTTGCCCTCTGCAATAAGATAATGAATGCAAAAGAACTTTTTAAACCAGATGAGGTGGCACATGCCTGTAATCCCAGCAACTCAGGAGACTGAGGCAGAAAGGTTGCAGATTCGAGGCCTTAGTAAGACTCTGTCTTAAAATAAGAACTGGGATTTGCCTCAGTGGTAAAGCATTCCTGGTACTGTTAGAAATAAAAGTAAAATCAAAACAACTGTAATATTTCCTCTTTGTCTGTTTAACTCTGACAGGTGCTATCCAGATTCCCACAGTGTCTTTCAGCCATGAAGAATCCAACTTCACAGCCCTGGCTGAGTTTGGAGAATACATACATAAAGGTCAGCTGCACACTGTGGGTGAGGAGTGGTAGGGTGATAAAGAAGCATATTTTGTCACTGATCAGAGAAAAAAGTCTAATTTCTAAAGGTCTTTTTTGAGTTTTCCCATCGAGGGGAGGTATAAAAGGGAGAATCCAAGAGCTACAGTGGAGGCAGAGTAGGCACTATAGGTTTTCCCTTTGAAGAACTAAGCCATGTAATTGTCGGATTGGAGTTTGAACTCTCTCAATGTTTGCCTTAAAAATGTGTCATTCAATAAATATTATATAATCAAAACAGAACTAACGATTCCTCCCACCTGTGCAAATGTCCAAAACTGTGCCCTGTGTATCTCCCATCCCCACCTGCCCTCACACACCTGAACCCATACATGTACTCCACTTGTTGAGGCCTACTCAGACTCATTACTAACACATTTCTAAGCCTCTAGACAGTCAACAACTTTAAGCTGTCACTTCAGTCCTCCTCCCTTCATCCCCATCACCCATGGAGCACAGAGCTAGGAAAGATGGCTCTGAGGAGGAAAGGAGTCTTAGAATTCCCCTGTTGGCCTGTGAAAATCTTATGGAAAATTGGGAGGACCCCCTCCTAATTCCTTTAAAAGCATTACCTCTAAAGTTGTCAGCGGGCAGAATCTGGCCTAGGAGCAGGAGGTAGCTGCTTCTCCAGCACTCTGGGACAAATGGTTTAGTCATCAAACTAGAGGACCAGGCTGGAAGTCTTTACCAAACAGCTGATAAAAATAGGGAAATAAATATACAATGACAGTAAACTATTTTATCTATTTGACACAGTAAAGCTACATTCTTCTTCCATTTTGTTTCCAGGTATCTGAAGAGGAATATGTGGATTCTTCCAACAAAGCCCACAGGAGAGAAAAGCTCTTTCTCACATGAGAAAACTCTTTCTCTAAAGCCACCTATGTTAAGATCTACCAATAATCTGAATAATTAACCCTGGGGACATCTACACCTGCACACAGAAGTGTGACCTTGTGCCAAACACAGTAATCTTTATCTCCATACAACACAAACTGTAGGAATGCTGTTTTATTAAAAGTAACTCTAAATATTTTTTAATGTAGGGCTCATGTTTGGCTCTGAATAATTTGTATACTGGGAACTACTATGTTCAAATTTTAACAAAGTCCTCAACTTCAGAGATTTCTATATGTGGTAACATGTTATAGGTCAAACTGAGCCAGATCTGGAGATATTTACCATTTTAATGGTGGAGTCTTTGCATGTTATTACATGATAATAGTACATTAAAATATGTGGAAGAGGAGATTCAGAGATTGAACAGGCAGATCAAAATTCAGACTAGCTTTATCCCAGAGGTTTCTTAAAGGAGGATGTACATTTTTAAAAAGAGACAGAGAGAGAGCACAAAATGATAGAAAGACCAAAAGAAACTGTTAAACCTGACTTTCTCTCCTGTTTTATATACCTTGGTCTCTAGTCTTTCCTGCAGTATTCAACACCAGCTTTATCCGGCATGAAGTTGTGGGAAACTACAGCCACTTGTTTACTATCCAAGGCTCAGAGCCCAGCCTGCAGCCCTACATGCTGATGGCTCACTTTGACGTGGTGCCTGCCCATGAAGAGGGCTGGGAGGTGCCCCCCTTCTCAGGGCTTGAGCGTGATGGCTTCATCCATGGTCGGGGGACACTGGACAACAAGAACTCTGTGATGGTCTGAAATGCTATTTTCTCTGCCTTGGGGTCCCTAAAGATCAATCTGGGAATGGAGAGTTTGGCTGACTTCTGGGAGGAAGAAGGTGATGGTAGAAAAACTCCTGGTTCCAGGAGAACTGGGTTCCAGCCATCAGTTGTCACTTCCTTTTTTAAAAAAATTATTTATTTATTAATTTATTTATGGTACTAGGGATCTAAACCCAGGGATGCTCTACCACTGACCTACATTCCAGCCCTTTTTATTTTTTATTCTGAGACAGGGTCTCTATAAGTTGCAAAGGCTGGTCTCAGGCTTGTGATCCTCCTGACTCAGCTTCCCAAATCACTGGGATCACAGGAGTATGCCATGATGCCTGGCTCTCACTGCCTTTCTGTAGACCTTGACTTCTCAAGTGTATAGGGATTAGAGCAGATAATCCTCCAGGAAGGACCCTTTCAGGGTCCTGATAATTGGGGCTTTTCTCCAGGTGGTGAAGGTTTTATGCAGAGGTCTGCTTCCCCATAACTAGCCCCCTGGAACCTGCAAATTTGTTCTTTAAAGAGAGTCTATAAGATGCTAGTTCCACCAGCACTGATGCAAGAAGCTGTCCCTGGTACCCTGCTTAGATAATAAGTCTTTCTCCTCTTCCACGGTACTTCTGAACCCTAGGCAATCCTTCAGGCCTTGGAACTTCTACTGACCAGGAACTACAAGCCTCGAAGATCTTTCTTCATTACTCTGGGCCATGATGAGGAGGTAGAGGCAACTCACCCTAAATCTATCTCTAGGGCCCCTGTTGGGGGAGGCAGGTACTTCACCTGAGTCCATTGTGTTCTTTCAGGGTCTTTGTGATATGGCATAGAGGCCTGCCAACTTCTCTGTGTATCTATGTGCCACAACTATCTAAGGACCATGACCAAAACTCAGGTTCCTGGGTCCTTATGCCAGAGAATATTTAGCAAACTTTGTGGTAATATCTGAGGCAGGCAGGTAGACCATCAGCTGCTCCCTGTGAAACATTTGTGTAATAGAAAAAGAACTGAACATGGAAATCAATGGCTGTATTTTATTTCCAGTAATACCACTCAGTTTGTGGACAAATCACTGCACTCTCTGGGTCCCAGTTTCTTCATTTGTGAAAATGAGGGGCACTGGATACCTCCAGCTCTTACATTCCAGGATTCTATAAAACAGAATCATCTCCTGTATCTATGGAGGTCTGTTTCTGGTCCAAAAAGACTGTGACTCTGTGTTCAATGTCTGCAGGTGTCAGGAACAAATGGGGCTCAAAAGATGTCAGCACTGCTACAGGCCAGGGGTGTCCAGCTAGCCTTCATTGTGGACGAGTGTGGCTTCATCTTGGATGGATTCATTCCCAATCTCCAAAAGCCCTTTGCCATGTGAGTAAGGCACCCTATCCCCCACCTTGGAAGAAGTTTGCACCCTATTTGAGGTGACCCCAGTCTGGTATGTATAAGCCATGCTGGAACCCCTGTTGCCTTACCACCCTAATCTCCAACCTGTCCTGGGTTTCCCCTTCCTCTGCTCCTCTTGTGTGTGGGTGGCTGGGTTTTGTTTGTTTGTTTGTTTTGTGGTGCTGGGGATTAAACCCAGGGCCTTGTGCTTTCAAGGCAAGCACTCTACCAACTGAGCTATATCCCTTGCCCTTCCTTTGTGCCTCTAGCATAGATTTCTTAAAGCAGTATGAAGCTTCCTCCTAGCCCACCAGACCACACAGATGGGCCTGTGAGCCTGTGGATTCATTCATGATGAAAAGAAATCAGAAGGACCATCTCTGATCCCCTTCCACAGGATTTCCATCTCAGAGAAGGGTGCAATTGACCTCATGCTGCAAGTGAACATGACTCCAGGCCACTCTTCAGTACCGCCAAAGGAGACAAGCATTGGCATCCTCTCAGCCGCTCTCAGCAGGTGAGCAGCTCCAGGACCTGGACCCATGTGAGACTTGGAAATAAAGACCTGGCATTTTTCCACGTTGGCTTTGAGGAGCCTAAAGTTCCTTCCCTGAAGCTGGGCTAGGAAACCAGGGTATAGGCCACAGGAGGGACAGAACTATCCGCGCCCAGGCAAGGGCTGGGTTCAGAAGAGGATCCATCAGTGCAGCCCTATGGCAAGCAGGGACCAGCAGATAAAAGCTAGGCCAGCAGCTCAGTAGTCCAGAGTCCAGCTAAGCGGTCTGAAATCACAGATCGTCAATGATTAGTAGAGCTGGCTAAATTCTCTGTCTGCCCTGGCAAGAGGACAAAGGTAAATAAAGGGCATCGGGCTGTGGATGAGAAGGGCAGGGTCTATAATAACACTCACCTATATGGCTGGGTTTTCTTAGCAAAGTGGGAAAGAGAACTACCTGCATTCAAATACAAAACGAATAGCTGTCATGGTCAAGGCTTTGTGCCAGGGGAGAGGTGTACAGTAAGGAATAAAACAGTCCGCATCCTCAAGGAACTCATAATTGGGAGAGGAGATGGACAATTCTGCCGCAGTGTGGTAGGTGCTATGAGACAGGATGTCAGAGACAGGCACAGGGCAAGGTGGGTAAGAAGGGACTCTAACTTGGACTTGGTAGACAGGAAAAGCTCCTGCTGGTGGAGTGGAGGTACTTGACTTCTGTGTGAGTACTTGACTTCTTCAGAATGGTTGGGTGGTGGAGGTGATGAGGGTGGGCATGGATAGCAGACCTCCTGACCAGACTGGGTAAAACTTCTGCCTGTCTCCCTCCTCTTTGATTTTTGCTAAGTCTTGAGAACTCTGTTTCTCTTCCAGACTGGAGCAGACGCCAATGCCAAACATGTTTAAAAGTGGACTGTTGAAGACGACATTGCAGCAACTGGCAAGCGAGGTGTGGGAAAGAATACCACTCCTCCCCAGTCCTGGAGAGGAACAAAATGGTGGCAGAGAAGTCACCTTGGAGTGATAAAAGGGCCCTAGTGCTAACCAGTGCTCTGCCCATTCTCATCTAACCACAGCCAGTGGCTGAGCCAAAATGAGGGATCTGGCTTGTTTCCTGGGACTGCTAGGGTATATCTGAGAATTAATGCACCCAAGTCCCCTTTTGGACTTGGTTCCCACTCATCCTAGAAGGTGGTGAGCAATCGTCTGGCCAATCAGCTAAGCCTAGCCAGGTAGAAACTGCCCGGGTCTCTAGCAGAATGAACTGGCTGCTCTTCTGATTGCTGAGGGCCCTGAAGCAGATCACAAGTAGGAAGATCCAGGCTGCAGGAACAGTGACCCTACGGTGCGGAGCCCTCTGATCCTGCTAACCTCGTTCTTTCCCTTTCAGTTTTCCTTTCCTACCAATATAGTCTTGAGCAACCTGTGGTTGTTTGGGCCCCTTGTAAGCAGGTAAGTATTCTTACCTTCTCTGCACCTCCCACCCAAACCTACCCCTCCCCTTGATTCACTTGAACCTGACTAATGAACTCAGCCACAGACACTACGTCTAATCCACATACAGGTTGTCTCTCTTAGCCTGAAAGATTTTTGAGGTTCAGGAAAAGTGAATGAACTTTCTTTCCCCATTGGATAGTTCTTCCTAATGTCTGACTTTAATCTTTTTGTTTTAGGATATTGGAGAGAAATGACGTGACCAATGCGCTGATCAGGACCACCACAGCGCTTACCATGTATAATGCAGGGGTCAAGGTAACATTGCCTGGCTTTCCCATTTACCATCTCCTTATTGCCTGTTCACGCCTCCATCCTGCAGCTTTGTCTAAAGACTTTCCCTTCCTTCTCTGACTACAGTTTGAATAGGAAGGGCCACTACTGAACTGTCCTGTGACATCAGTTGGGTAAGCCTCAAGAGAAAGGAGTCTGGTCAAGGCCTAGAAACTCTCTGAAATTGTTGGCCAAGTTCTATATGTATAATAGGATGCAGTGGCACATGCCCCCAACCCCAGCAACTCAGGAGGCTGAGGCAGGAGGATCACAAGCTCAAGGCCAGCCTCAGCAACTTAGAAAGACCCATCTAAAAACAAAAACTAAAATAGGCTGAGGATATAGCTCAGTTGTAGAATGCCTCTGGGTTTATCACAAAAATGTGGGGTGTGTGTGTGTGCATATTTTAGTGGGAATGCTGCCTCTTGGGTCTACCCCATGCCAAAAAAAAAATTACACTAGTGTGAAGAAGGGTTGTTTGGGAGTTGGTTCCTTTGACCTGTGCTTATGCTGTAATTCAACAGGCTTTAGATTTACCTAGCACTTTGTACTTGTCAACTAAAGTTTTCTAAGCATTCCACCATCAAAGATCTTTTTTAAATTTTCCCTATATTTTGAAAGATTTACCACTTAATAATGAGTAATTAATGTACTCTCTCTTGGTGTTACTCTTAGTTGAAAGAGAAACTCGCTGCCATTTATAAAATCTATCATGTGCGTGATAGATATACAACACTTAAAACATGGTATATTATCATTTCTCAAAAATCTATGAAATATTGGCCAACCTTAGCAAACATAATTTCTTTCTTTTTTGGGGGGGGAGGCAGTATACCAGGGATTGAACTCAGGGGTGCCCTGTCACAGCTATATCCCTAGCCCTTTGTTTGTTTTGGTTTTGGTATTTTGCTTTTTGGTTCTTGGGTTTTGGTGTTTTTTGTTTGGGGTTTTTTATTTTTATATTTTTAAGACAGGGTCTTACCTAATTGCCAAGACTGGCCTTGAACTTGCAATCCTCTTGTCTCAGCCTCCCAAGTTACTGAGATTACAGGTAGGAATCACCATGCCTGATTCGTAATTTCTATATGAAGCTTACTTTTCTAAAAATAAGTTTTAGTTGATTCAATGCTTTGATAAATTTTTATTCCAAAATTATTTTTCAGCTAATTGGTTTATTTCCATTCAGATGTCCATTAAGAGGCATCTTCTTGGACTAGGGTAGCTCAGTGGTAGAGCGCTTGCCTCACATGTATGAGGCACTGGGTTCAATCCTCAGCATCAAAATAAATAAATAAAATAAAGATATTGTTTCCATCTACAACTAAATATATATATATATATATATATTTTTTTTTTTTAAAGAGTCATCTCTGTTAAAAGAACCAAGCCTAGCCACACAAATAGACCTTTCTGAAATATTTTTTTTTCTTTTTTTTTTATACTGGGGATTGAACCCAGGGGCACTTAACCACTGAGCTACATCCTTTTTATTTTTTTCTCTTGAGACAGGGTATTGCTGAGTTGCTGAGGGCCTTGCTAAGTGGATGAGGCTGGCTTTGAACTTATGATCGTCCTGCCTCAGCCTCCCAAATTTCTGGGATTACTGGAATGCACCACTATGCCTGGCTCCCTTTCTGAAATCTTGAAGGAAGTTAGACTACTCCTATAACTATTAGTGCCACCATCACAACTTCTGGGGACACCATTCCCCAAGAATACAATGTGACCTCCAGAAGTTCTTGTAATCTGGAGCTCAAATTGAATATAAGTGAATGGTGTTTCAGAATTAAGTCCTGGCATAGCTGACTGGTGAGTTCAGTGTGTCACCTGACTCAAGCCATCTGTACCAGCTGCCTGTAGTGTTCACCAGAATAACAGTACTGTATCCTTGCATTTGAATGGTGTTTTCATCCCCCACTGCTTTCACATTACTCCATTTGATCCTTCTAAGAGCCTTAGGAGTATTACTGTCCCACTCTACAGTTAAGAAAACAGGAACAAAGATGTTATAGTTATTAAAAATCACACAGCCAATTTGTGATGGGTGGCTAATATTTTTTTTTAAGTACTGAGGATTGAACTCAGGGGTGCTCTACCACTGAGCTACATCCCCAGTCCTTTTATTTTTTATTTTGAGACAGGGTCTCACTAAGTTGCACAGGCTGTCCTCAAACTCACAATCCTCTTGCCTCAACCTCTTGAGTTGTTGGGATTATAGGTCTGCGCCAACCTGCCTGGCTCACAAGGCCAATTAGTAACACCCTAATCTGTCCCTAGCCATGTGTTTTTATGCATACTTGTTCAAAAAATGGTATACAGTCAGAGAATCTGTTCTCTCTCAGCCTTCCAGGATAAATAATCCCTCCAAAATATGCCTTCTTCCATTAGTCCTGGGTTCTTCCTCTTTGAACAAAGAATAGAGTCATATTTCACAAATAGACACAAGAAAGTCCCACCCCCATCATAATCCCCATAGGGTTCAAACACACCATAACCGAGGCCCATTAGGAAGCACTAACATTAACAGAAATGTCCAGGTTGCCCTGAGAAAGTGCTCACAGAAGGTTCCCAATGGTACAACTCAGGGTCATCACAGAGAAAACAAACCTTTCTGGGCAGCTGTGACTCCCTCCAGGATCAAGAAGCATAAAGATCTGGCCTGAATATAACCCCATGTCAAGGACCCAGAGAAGACAAAGGCAGACTAAGAAAATTAAACCCAGGATCTTTATATCAAATCCGCTTCCTCTGCCCCTGCGTGTGGTAATTGGTACTTCCTGGGCGGAGATGAGTTGTGGAAAACTTGAGGTTGGCTCAGGCCAGGGTTTGTGGTTCTCTCCTTAGGTGAACGTCATCCCCCCGGTGGCCAAAGCCACAGTCAACATCCGGATTCACCCTGCACAGACAGTTGTGGAGGTACGTGTCATATGTTCTAGACAACACGTTCGTTATCAAGGAGGTGGGGCCCTCGGGACGTGGGTTAAGCTACAACATAGGGCAGAGCCAGTCTCTCCTTTGTTCAATCTACAAGTTCTAAAGGCATCCTATTGCTACGTGGCTAGGATAGGAGACCTCTGGTTTGGGGAACTTGGAGTCTGGGGGCAGGAGACAAGTACAAATAAATTAGAGCATTGTAGCAAATATATATAGTGGGCTTGCTCTGAGTCAGGTACCCTCCTGAGCTATACATGCATGTGCACACTCATCAGGTCCTCATGGCCACCCTGTGAAGTGGCAACTGCAATATCCTCATTGGCCTGGTGAGAACTGAGACACAGAGCAATGCAGCAGCTAAGCAGTATAGTCAACAAGTACACATCTAGCAGTTCAGTTCCAGAATGTTCTAACCACAGCTCAACACTATGATTATAACAATTAGGGATGAACAAATTACCATAGGACCATTGCAAGGGAGACTGATGCTACCATGGAGGGTCAACAAAAATCTTTTCTGACCTCTAGAAATGAGTAGGGGCCTTAAAGGATCACCAGGACTTTTCTAGAAGTAAGACATTCGTTGTTACTAAAGAGGATAAACTGGGAGAGAGTAGTAGGAGATAAAAGATTGGTAGAAGATGGATTTGTAGCTTGGAGATGGAGCCTTGTGTGCCATGCTGAGGACTTGAACTCTAATCTGTGGACAGGAGGGAACTTTTAGAAATCTTCAGAAAGCACCAGGATAGATTTGCTGTGAGGGAGATAATGTTGGTGGCAATACAGAGGACATGCTGAAGTAGAGAAAGAAGCTTCTGCAATGTCTCAGGCAGTGCATGTTCAAAACCGAGGCCAAGATCACAGGGTAAAAGAAGGAGCATTCACTTCAAGAGAGAAAGGTCCAACGGGATAGGGTTTTATATATGGATGTGTACTGAAACGCAAAGTCTTTAACCTGGGTAGTTGACCAGGCAGGCACTCATTCCTTTGATCAAGATTGTAAACTCAGGAAGAAGAGCAAGTTCAATGAGAAATACAACAGCTTTGAAGTTTAAGATGTGTATAACATAGTAACAGGCAATTATAAATACTGCAGGTCTGGAGAGAGACATGAACCAGAGGTACAAACTGGAGTGTTATTAACGTAATTGGAACCTCCTAGGCAGTGATGAGTATCAGGACAAAGAAACCTGGTGCTATTGGAAAATATTTCAGGAACCAGAACTTCTGTGGGGTCAGACAAGTCTTCCCTGAGAGAGTGACATCTGAGCTGAAAGCTTCAGGGTGAGCAGAAGTTACACAAAGTGTTTGATATCTGTAAGAAGTGCCAGCTTTCTGGTTGGGCTAAAAAGAATTCAAAAGGTTAATCTGACCCTTCAAAAATGAACCAAAAATGGGCTGGGGGTGTAACTTAGTGGTAGACACTTGCCTAACATGCGTAAGGCCCTGGGTTTGATCCCCAGCACTGCAAAACAACAACAACAGCATATTAATCTAAAAGGCAACCAACAATTATCAGATGAGTTAGGGACAGGTCCCTGACACACATTATGAGGGGAAATTCTGTGATCCTTTCTCCTAAATTATTCCCCTTGGGGATTTCATCCGTCCTCACACAGGGAGGGAAGCACACTCCTCTTTGTAGATTGGGGAGTGGGTCAGTGGCCTGCCCTGAGTCCTCTAGCACTGGGTGAGGGGTGAGCCCTGACTATGCCGCTTTTCATCAGGTGCCAACCATTGTCCATTCCCTAGGGGCTCATAGGGCCAGGAAATCACTGCATTCCCCTCATTGAGCTTCTTTCCACCAGTTTTTTTCCAGCCTCATTCCAACTCCATGCCCTTTGCAAGGGCTGTTTTCCACCCACCAGGGCTTTCATCTCCCTAGGTCGTGGCACTCTTCCCTCCTCTCTTCCCCACCACAGAGGCCTTCCTTCCCAGCCTATCTGATGAAACCCCTGGGATCCCCAGGCCCACCCTGCCCACCTGCCCACCGAGGAATGGAAATCTTCCATCCATCAAAGCTCACAGAGCCCATTCATCATGGTCACTGCCATGACCCTAGTGCCCCAGCTTTATGGGTCAGGAACATGGCCTAAGGCTGCATGCACAGAGCTTCGAGTAGACCTGGTGGAAACACAGGCAGCCCCAAGAGTCCTCCTTCTCCATCTTCCACTGGTATCTCCCATGTTCTAGATGTTGATCAGCTCCAACACTTCTCTGTAAGGAGCAAGAGTCTTCAAAAGTTTAACAGGTTACCACGTGGAAAGGTAGATTTATTCTGAATGGCCCTCAACGAGTAGAACTGAGGCCACTGGGAGAATCAGGGTCTGGTCTGTATCCTTCCTGGGATCAGGGATTTTTGCTGATTGCTTCTAGTCATTTCAGGCTGAATTTTCAGGAGTTTCTTCAGGTTCCTTCCTGAGGAAAGGAGGCAAAGAGAGAAGACTTGAATACAAGCATCCCAACTCCTAGCTTTTGTCTGTGTTGAGCTCATCTTCCTGGCTGCAATGCAGTTGGTTACAAACAGGAAGCAGGGATGCCCAGAGAGGGGAAGGAAAAATGTATGGCCTTTCATCACTGGGACTCTAGTTGAAGCAGGATCATACTCTTTGCTGTTAAGATTCCTATTCTAAAGACTCTTTTACACTTTCACCCAGTCTGTGGCTCATGACCTAAGGGGAAATTTCCCCGCCCGACTCACAGCTATAAGACAAGCCTCCCAAATATTTAGCCAAAATCTACCATGCTATAGATTGCTTTCCAGAAAGGGCCAGTTCTTACATCACCTACAGCCAGTCAGTTGAAATTGAGGTCCCAGTGACTCAAGAGGCTGAGACAGGATGATCACAAGTTCAAAGCCGGCGTAGGCAACTTATGGAGACATGTTCAAAATGAAAAGAGCTGGGGATGTAGCTCAGTGGTAGCGCACTCCTGGGTTAAATCCCCAGTACCAATAACAAAAAAAAAAAAGTGTCTTTTCTGTAAACCCCAGGGCTCTGCTGGAGAGAAATCAGGACCATTTAAATTCATATGGTACTTGCAGTTCAGTAACAAACCTAACCCTCTTTGTTCCCACCATGGAGGTCCTGGAACTCATCAAGAACATTGTGGCTGATGACCGAGTCCAGTTCCACGTGTTGAGAGCCTTTGACCCCCTACCCATCAGCCCCATTAATGACCAGGCCTTGGGCTACCAGATGCTCCACCAGACCATACAGTCTGTCTTCCCAGAAGTCAATATTGTTACTCCAGGTAATGACTTCATCAGCTGTGGTTGGAGAGAGGAGGGGGGCTGGAACTGTTTCCTATCCAATGTCTACTGCCCCACCCCCACCCCAGCTGTTCATCCTGGAAACAGCTGGCTGCTTCCCCTCCTGATGGGACTGGAACTGTATTTTCCCTTTGGGGTGGAAGTGAGAAAGCAAACAGGAAAGGAGCAGAAACAATAAACTAAATCAGTCAAGCCTGGGTCCTTACTTAACCTAGTCTAGCAAAGACCTGTGCCCCTCTGACAGAGAAAGGAGGATTGGCTGAAAATTCTCCCCCTCTGGAGAAGCCACAGAGGAGCAAGATTCCTCCAGATTCTGATTCCAATTCACTTTAGGATAACAGCTCAGCAGCAGGGTTCAGTCATCAGCCCAGAGAAACCTCTTGGACCATCCCCAGCCCCCAGTCTTCTAGCATATCATCCAAATCTGTCTATGACAGTGGTTCTCCAAAATGAGAGTGGAAGAGGATCACCTAGAGAACATCTTAAAAATGCAGACCATCTGAACCCACTCTTGGAGATTCCAGTTAGCCAGATCTGGATAGGACTCTGGAACCTGCCTTTTTGCCAAATACTCCCAGGGGATTCTGATATGAGTGGCAACTGACCAGTGTAAGAATCTCTTGTCTACAGTGTAGGAAGAGATGTTCTGGTGTAAAGGCCTCTGTCCACTTTCCCTCCATCTGGGTTTAATTATAGATTTCTCCTAACATCTAGGAGCCCTGGCCCTCACAGCCTCACATGGTCCGTCCCCTCTTGACCTGCAAAGTCTCCCTAATCCTACTTTTTACCTTTCGGGACATTGGGTGCTCTTCCTCCCTTTGAGAGTATGCTAATCTCCTGGACCTCATTTTCTCTACCTACATCACAGTGATGAAGCTGTTATAGGAAAAAAAAAAGATGGGCAGAGATCATCTGGCAGAAACTCCCACACATGAAGCTACATTTGAAACCAGAAGAAGAAATTAGAACAAAATACAAATTACCATTTCAAATCACCCCCACTGCACTTGAATTGATGCTCCAGGGTGTCTTTTCCCAAAGAAGGTGCCTTTCAGGGATAAATCCCAGTCCTTGATGAGTGACCTACTCCTCTGCCCTCAGGAAAGTAGGAGACTGAGAAGAGAACATTCTGGAACTTTCCAAACCTGAGGTTTGACTCTAAAGTAGAATCATCACCCAAAGGATGAGAATGACAGGAAATCATGTTCCACTAAGAGAGGACTGGATTTCATAGCAGTACAATTCCCCAAAGGGTGTTAATTTCTGACCTAGGATACAGAATATAGACCAGGTGATAAAGAAGATTTATGGTTTCTTTTTTGTACTGGGAACTGAATCCAGGGGTGCTTCACCAATGAGCCACATCCCCGCCCTTTTTATTTTTTATTTTGAGACAGGCTAACTCTAAGTTATTAAAGACTCACTAAATTGCTGAGGTTGCCCTTGAACTAGCAATTCTCTGCCTCAGCCTCCCAAGTTGCTAGAATTACACGTGTGTGCCACCATGCCTAGCTACATTTATGGTTTCTAAAATAGCAAATGACCATGGCTGTGGGTATGAGATAAAGATATTAGCCTCCCTGGTCATCAAGGAAAGAGGGCATTTAGCCTCAGACCATTCTAAGGGTATCTCACCAATGCCTTCAGGATTCCGAGTTCCTGGCTGAAATGATGCTTCCTGATGTTTTGAAAAAGGGCAGCTTGTAGGACAAAACAAACATAGGCATAGCTCATAAGTGAGCCTAGCCATTGTTCTGTAGTGACCAAGGGGTCCTAATTTTCTAGCCAGCCCACCTGCTGCCACTTTCTGGCTTGGTTTCTCATGGAAAGCCCTCTTCTTCTTCCCTTTCTAGGTACTTGTATTGGCAACACAGACAGCCGACACTACACCAACCTCACCACTGGCATCTATCTGTTCAACCCTGTCTACCTTCAGCTTCAGGACTTCAGAAGGTGAGTGGAACAGGTTTGAGCCACAGTGGGGACACAGGAGACACATGTGACCTGTACCTTCCCAAGCAGACAGACCACAGAATGGAGGAAGCCAGGGTGTAGCAAATTAAAATGGAGACATCTTAGAAGCCAACTGTCCTCATTGTTCATCTTGCCACTGCCCAGAATTTGTAGGAATTGCCCCTCTTTTCAAAGGATGGAGAGACAGACAAAGTGGCACATGCCTGTAATCCCAGTGATTCAGGAGGCTGAGTCAAGAGGGTCACAAGTTCAAGACCAGCCTCAGCAACTTAGCAAGACCCCATCTTAAAAGTTAAGCTCAGTGATAAAATGCCCAGGGTTCAATCCCTAGTGCCACAAAATAAAATAAAAAGAATGGAGGGCTGAGGCTGTAGCTCAGTGGCAGAGCGCTTGCCTAGCATGTGTGAGGCACTGGGTTTGATCCTCAGCATCACATAAAAATAAACAAATAAAATAAAGGCATTCTGTCCATCTACAACTACCAAAAAAATTTTTTTTAAAATAGAATGGAGATAATCAGGCAAGAACCTGGTGGAATTGGGATCTTTGGGTGCTCTTCCTCCCTTTGAGAGTATGCTAATCTCCGGGACCTCATTTTCTCTACCTACAAAAACTAGTGTTCCTATCTTGAATTTCCATAGTATTTCTCTGAGAAAGCAAACACACATGAGGTCAACTGTAGGCATGTGTGATCTGCTTTTTTGTGAGTTCTTCAGCAAATTCTGAACCTTGGGGTGTGGGAGGATAATTTCCACTGAGCTCTGCTACTTATCACATCTAGATCAGATTTCACCACCATACATCACCTAGAAATGGAGTGAAAGTATTTAAGTATGAACTTAAGAATAGCTTTTATGTTTTTGTTTTTTAAACCAAGAGGGGAGGGCTGAGAACTACTCTCTTTTTGGCCATCTTTGAGGTTACAAGTGTACTTTGTCATTTGTTGGGTTGTATTGGTGGGAGGCAGGTTGGTGGGCATGCAATCTGAGAGCAAGGTTCATAGGTGAAGCAGAGAACCCAACAGGTGCCCTGGGTGTTGCCCTTCATACACTTCCTTGTCCTTAGTAAGCTGAAGGATGGGGGTGGGGGTAGGCTCGGAGAAAAGTCTAGCTGGGGACTCTGTTCTAAGAGAAAAAGAATTAGAAAGACAGTTCCCCTGAAAGGGAAGTTACTGAATAGACCTCAGAACAGAAAAAGATTTAAACTCCCAGGCTTTGGTTCATTATCTCTGCCCCCTTGAGAGATGACCAACTGGTCAAATGAAACCTCACAAATGGCTTCTCCATCCCCAAGGGTCAAAGACCAGCAGTATCAGGGGAAGGGGAGACAGGTGGGGACAGTGCTATGTAATGCCACCTATGCTACGTATGGGCTCTTCCCTTCTCCCACAATGCATCTGTCTTTCCCTCAGCATCCATGGAATCAATGAGAAAATCTCTGTCCAAGGCTACCAGACTCAGGTGAAATTCATCTTTGAGTTGATCCAGAATTCTGACACTGACAGGAAGCCCGTTCCTCACCTGCATGAACTGTGAAGTCGAGGAGCCAGCAGGGGTAGGGGTGCCTTACATGGGGCCCACACAAAACTAAGGGCCTAGACAAAGCCAAGGTTGATGAGAGTTGTGGTCAAAACCACATTGTAATACATGGCTCATCTCACCCACTCCTCACCACAACTCACTGAAGACAGGGCCAGGAGTAAGGGAAGGTCAGCAGAAATCTGGCTTTTCTTTTCCTCCCAACATTTGCATCCATAAGCTGACTGGCATTTACTGCCTTCTTGTCCCTCCTATCTTGGAAGGGACGGGACCCCTCTGATTTCTGCTGGTTATTTGACTGCTCTACCTCCAGGCCTGATTTAACAAATACCAGTTTGAAAAATCTCCACCCGGTTTTACCTGATAGAAGTGAAAATCTAGGGTACTTTTGCTGGACTGCCTTCTCCAAAGCTCATGATGTATCTCTTCTTGCCAGAACCTCCTTTCCCCTGTCATTCTCTCTCTTCTCGAACTCACAAGCTGCCTCTTCGTCTCTCCTCTTTTGCCTCTGCATCTCTCCCTCTACTCTCCGATTTATTCTACATCTGGAATAGGACTTAGTCAAACTGATGCTACCATAATTGCCACCAATGATCAAATAAAAAGATCTGTGCAGCACCAACTGAACACTGAGGGGTAAACCTGAGGTGAGGACTCTGGGGGACCCCACACCTCCTGTCTCTGAAGGCTGGGCCCTGGAGAAGAAAGCTTCTGTCCTTGGGTTCCTCCCAAGGGCTCTCTGGGCTTTGCTCCCTCTCCTGCCCTGTTCTTGCCACCTGCTGCTGCTGTCCCACCCCAGGAGGCACTAATCTGTAGAAACATTTCCCTGGCACATCTATGGGCTAAGCTTCCCAGGGAAGGGCACTCATGACCCAGCCTCTCAGTGGATCTTAGCACCGGCAGACCTTGGCCCTGGCCTGGTCTGGTTCAGACTGATCAAGGGGAAGTGGAGGGCATGAGGAAGGAGGAGGAGGGGGAGACTGGTTTGAGGGGCTCTGCCCTGGGCCAGTGGGGTACAAAGAGGCAGGCACAAGATAGTCTCCATTAGGTGACAGCAAAGCTCCTGTCTTTTTTTTTTTTTTTCCTGGACTCCATTCCTGAGCATATTTGAATCTGCTCAGTAGCTGCCAGGTGGGGGGCATTGGAAAGAGCATTTCTTGGCTCAAGTCCAGGAGCTGTGCTTTGTGGATCACAAGGGAGTCAGGGTCACAGAGGGAGACACAGAGAACTGGGACTTGAGAGACTCCCTCTCTTTTTCCCTCACCAGGCAAGGACCTTCCTTGCTTTTCCTGGGGTTTGATTGCAATGGGTTCCTTTGCCCTCTCCTCGTAACCCGCTGAGTGCCCCCCACCCCCAACTCCTTACCTCCCTTCCGTGGATGTAAGCTGCTCCTTGGAGCTTGGTCTTAATTGTTAGTGTTAGAAACACAAGTGGGGATTATTCCGGCTTTTTTGCTGCTCCTGCTAAGATTCACATTCCTTCCCTAGCCCTCCCTTTTTTTGGCCAATTCAGTACTTATTCAGCCTTTGTTAGAGGGCAAACTGAAGAACAAAAATAATCCTTCACATTTGTGCAGAGCTATACAAAGTAGTTCCATGGACCTCAATTATCTCTGCAGAGCCCCACAAGAACCCCAGGAAGAAGGTAATGCTACCCCTCTCACAGGGGACAAATTGATCTTCAGAGTGGTTACACATCGAGCTGGGGGCAATCAGCTCAAACCAACATGGCTTGGTTCCAAGCTCACTGTTCCCCCAAGATCCCAAGTCACCAAGGGAATCTACTTCCCATGGCTTCTTTTGTTTAATCCTCACAACCACTGCTGTGGCTTGAGTGTCTCCTCATTCTTCATGTGTTGGAAACTTAATCCCCAAAGTCACATGCGAATGGTATTAAGAGAGTGGAAAATTAATCAGACTCTGGTCTTTAAAGGTGGGGACCTTAGAAGGTGATTAGGATGAAAGTCATCAGAGTGGAGTCCCATGATTGTTTTACTGGTGGCTTTTTGGGATTTGAGGAGATCAATATGTTTATCCTGATTTAAACATTACACATGTACATAAGTATCGAAATATCACATGGCACCTCATTTAAAAAGAAAGAGACCAGAAGGTATGGAAAAATGCCTTTGTGGGCTCCATCTCTGTACTCTGCCAACAAGAAGGTCCTCAGCAGAGAGCCAACTAACTCATACCCTCCCTTGTCCCACTCACTCTTGAACTCCAGAACCTTGAGTCAAAATAAACCTCCTTTCTTTAGAACTCATCCAGTCTGTGGTATTTTGTTCTTGGAAACAGAAAATAATACAACTCTGAGATGTTATTGCCCTTTTTACTAAGACTCCACAGTTAAGTAACTTCAAGGTGATCCAAGGTCATGCAGGTATTAGGACCAGAGTCTTTCTGAACCCAAAATCTGTGCTAATAGTTGTGAGGAGTCATTTGCCCAAGATGACATGGTTCTTAAGGGGCAGTTCCAGAATTAAAATGCAGGTCAAGACCCCCCAAATTCAGTGATTCTTCGATTTCACCATGCTGCCTACCCCAAGAACCTGTGGCACTTGGCTCCTTCATTGGGATTCAGGGAACAGTCAAGGAAAAAGCCTATTTTGGTGCATTTAATTCTAAGCTCTAGCTCCAGGTTTTCCTGACTGACCTCTCATTCACACCTGTCCCTTTATCTGCATTTCTTACCCCCCACCTCTGGCTTCTAGGCTCAGCTCTTCTCCCTCCTTTGAGTTTGGGGAAGCCATGTCTCTAATGATCCACAGAGTACCTGGAAGAAGAATGAAGACAGAACTCCGTTGCCATCCAGCCTCATCACTTCTTCCAACTTTATAAAGGATAGTTTTCCAACCCCTCTAGTGGGAAGGAAGGCCCTTGAGAGGGAACTGCTCTGAATCCAAGCTCTAGGAGCACATATTCCAGCCCAGTGGCCCCTGGGTGCTTCTGAAGAGAATGGCTCAAAATGCTGGCCTGAGCCTCAAGGTCTCAGGGCAGGATGGTGATATAGGACAGATGAGGCTGGACACCCAAGGAACTTTCAGGAAGCAGTTTTATTTTAGTTGCCACAGTCTGGAGGGGACTAAAAATCTCTGGACCTCAGAGTCTGGAAATTCTTTAACTTAATACCCAGTGGGGGTGCCAGGCAGGGGCGGGGGGGGGGCGGATTTATACAACAGTGAGTGGTTACATGGCAGGCAGGAATGGTTTTTTTTTCCATTTTCTTAGACTAGACAGAGGTTTTTCACAAGTTTTCACCACAGAAAACAGAGATAGTAGTTTTGGTGCAACAAACTTGCTAGCAGACCTAGCTTTTACAAAAAAAAAAAAAAGAAAAGAAAAGAAAAAGAAACCTGGTCTTTATATGACAGAGAAAAGCTCCAGCAGCTTTCCTTACACATCCCCTACACCCACCAAAGGACTTGGTTCAACTCTCTTACACCTCAACTACCCAAGATGGGAAGTAAATCAAAATACTCATAAGCAGAGAGAATGGGAAAAGGAGAGAGTAAAGACGGACTAGAGTTCCTTGATTAGTAACTAGGTTGTTAAAAACATGGCCATTGGTATTTTTTCTTTCAGAAGAGACAAAAGTTCTTATCCAAGAGCTGAACATTTCATTAAATTTGATGGTGGGGGTAGGGGGGTGTTTTGTTTTGGTACTGGGGATTAAACCCAGAGGTGCTTAACCACTGAGTCATATCCCAGCCCTTTTTATATTCTATTTAAAGAGAGAGTCTCACTGAGTTGGTTAGTGCCTCACTAAGTTGCTGAGGCTGCTTTTGAACTTGCGATCCTCCTGCCTTAACCTTTTAAGCCACTGGGCCAGTGGGCCTGGCTCATTAAATATTTTTGACAATTTAAAGCAAAAGAAGAATAAGAAGCTGGATGCAGTGGTGCACATCTGTAATCCCTGTGACTCAGGACACAGAGACAGGAGGATCAGGAGTTTGAGACCAGCTTCAGCCACTTAGCAAGGCCCTAAACAACTTAGGAAGAACCTATCTCTAAATAAAAATAAATAAAGGACTAGGGATGTAGTAAAATGCCTCTGGGTTCAATACCCAGTACCAAAAGAAAAAAGAAAGAAAGAAAAGAAAAGAATATAAATTATTTAATACTACGAAATGTCCCTCAACCATCATGCAGTGTTGTGAACATCATAGTAATTCATGTTTATCTCTAGACCTAGAAATTGGAACTCAAAATGAAGCAAGAAAATGGACCCTCAGCACTAATGGTAAATAACAGGTCATGCAAGAATCTATACTATCTGAAAGGAAGGATTTGACAAGTTAATTTTCTTTTCTCTTAGCTCAGCACTTAACAGCTCAATTCTTCCCTGAGCTCAAAAGCCGTTTGTCTCCTTAGTTCACAATAATATAACCCACAAATCTTTGGAGCATTCAGACATGGTTATCTTATTTTCTGAAGACCTAAGGCATTCTCACCTTGGCAGCACACATACTAAACTAGAATGAAGAGCCAGGTGCAGTGGCTCACTCTGTAATCCCAGAGACTCAGGAGGCCGAAGCAGGAGGATCACAAATTTAAAGCCAGCCTGGGTAACTTAGGGAGAACCATTTTTTTTTTTTTTTTTTTTTTTTTTTGGTACCTGTGATTGAACAACTGAGGGGCACTTGCCCACTGAGCCACATCCCCAATTCTATTTTGTATTTTATTTTGAGACAGGGTCTCACTGAGTTGCTTAGCACCTTGTTTTTGCTGAGGCTGGCATTGAACTCAAAATCCTCCTGCCTCGTTCTCCCAAGTAGCTGGGAGGCCCAACAATAAGGTTTTATTCTATACACCTCATATAGACTGAGCCTGATCTGGGAAATCATGAAGGCCTCTGTGGTAAGGAGGTCATGATTTTCTAAGACTTCAAAACTTAGTATGGATATGCATGGAAAATACAGGCTGTGAATTGAAGAAATGTAAATTATAAGTTTATTTAGATTAGGTTATTGGGGAAATGCAAATTAAAATGACAGGAATACCTCTTTACATTCACTAGGTTGACCATATCAAAAAAGTAATCAAATATGGTAGTACACCTCCCAGTGAGTTGGGAGGCTGAAGACAGGAGGATTGCAAGTTCGAGATCAGACTCAGTGACTTTGAAAAGTCCTAAGCATCTTAGCGAGATCCTGTCTCAAAATTTTTTTTAAAAAATTTTTAAAGGGCTAGAGATGTAGCTCAGTGGTAAAGTACCCCTTGGTTTAATCCCTAGGACCTAAAAAAGAGAGACAGAAAGACAAAAGAATAAGAAATGAAAACAAAAATTACTCAAAAGTTTGCACATGAATGTTGACAACAACATTGTGGAAATTTTTAATATAAAGCAATTTTTAAAAATTAATATAAATTTAAAAACATAAATCCCTGTGCTCAAGGACTCATCATTTAGCTATGAAAACACAACCAATATATAAATCAAGAAATTTGTAGGGATGTAGTTCAATGATGGAGCACTTGCCTAACATGCACAAAGCCCTGGGTTCAATCCCCAGCACAACAAAATAAAGTTCATATTAAAGAAGTCTTAAAGGGCTGGGGTTGTGGCTCAGTGGTAGAGCGCTCGCCTAGCATGCACAAGGCACTGTGTTCGATCCTCAGCATCACATAAATGTAAAATAAAGATATTGTGTCCACCTAAAGCTTAAGAATAAACATGTTTTAAAAAGAAGTCTTAAGCTGTATAGCTGATCTTATCATCAAAGACTCCATCTCATCTTAGACTTCTCTATGTGCACCCAGACATATTGAATAACCTGCCATCCCATGAAAATGCCACATTCTCTCTTACCTGCCTGATACTTTACTCTGTTTCCTCTAACCAATATGATTTTTTTCTCTCTCTCTTTTCAATTCTTCTAGGCAGGTGCTAAGGAGTGGAATTGCTCAGTGATATGGTAATTCTATGCTTAATTTCACCCCCCCACCACCACCCCCATACTGGGGATTGAACCTAGCAGCACTCTATCCATGAGCTACATCCCCAGACCTTTTTATTGTTTATTTTGAGGCAAGATCTTGTTAAACCACCCAGACTGGCCTTGAACTTGTGACCCTCCTGCCTCAGCCTCTCAAATTGCTGGGAAATCAGGAGTGCACCACCTTACTGGGTTTGCTGTGGTTTTGATTTACATTTTCCTAATGACTAATTTAAATAACTTTTAAATCAACCCTTTCTTCAATTCACTGACTCCACTTTCCACTTGTGCTATTGCAACACACTACTTCTTAGAATGATTACTCAGAGCATATAAACCCACACAGTTAGATTCAATCAAAGTACCTCTATGCCCTTGAAGAGTTCCTGAGCCTACCCAGGCAGAGATCAGCATCTCCTCATATGACAAAGATATATATTTATTAAAGTTCCCTAGGAGGTTCTAATATGCCAGGATTGAGAACCACCAGGTTGAGGCATTGCTTCCTGAAACAATTCTGATCATGGAAGTCACCTGGAACACTTTTAAAAGGGTAAATTTTCTGGCCTAGCACCAGATTTTTGGAAACAAAATTTCCAGAAGTGCCCATGGGTGATTTTTATTATCAGTTTAGTTTAGGAAATCCTAGGCTAGGGAATAATCAAATGGCAACAAACACAGAGGGTGATTTGAAACTAGATAATCTGGTTTGCAAGATATGTCTTCTCGTAAATTGGCTCTCACAAGATAAAGCTTACTTATCTTTGGCTTGTGACCCACTGCAGGGGTGTTGCCCCAATTAACTAAGATGGCTCATCTTTAACCCTGTCCAGTTAGGCATGCCCACATACAACATGAGGTCCAGAATTCAGTATGAGGCCCAGAGAGAGCCTGAGCTGCCCCTTCTGGATGCTTAATCCCTATTTGTGGCTCTTACTCTCTGGTGAAATCATAGCTGTCCTACTGTATACAGAGAATTTTTCAAATGTTGTATTATCACTAATCCTCCCAGCATCTCTGAGAAAGTGAGTTATATTTTTATTTTATAGATGTGGCTCAGAGACATAAAAAAGCTTGGCCAAGGTCACATACCTAATACGTGGCTGAGCATGAATCCAGCCCACATGATTACACAGCTGTGGCACATTCCTCTCAAAGATCACTTCTCTATCCCCACTTCTAACTCACTGGACTATTTTGCTTGCTGCTAAGGCTTCTCAGCTATACTCAGCAATTTCAACCACCAGAACCATCCTACCTTGAAGAATCCCAGGGTAGGTATTGAGGGGGCTTTGAGAAAAGGGAACTCAATTAGAGAGAAGTCAAG